TATCAGTCATTTAATATTTAATCATCAGATTGACCAAAATGTAACTTTAAATTTTTGGTATTTTATGGATCAATATGATAACTCATATAAGTAACAAAAATAAAATCAGGCAGAAGAAAATGTTTCTAAATGAGTTTCATTCAGTAAAATGAAAGTTAAACAGAAGCTGCAGGTCTGATTCTGGTTACATTCAGAAAATCAGAAACTTTCCTGTTTACTTCAGCAATAAAATCAATGAGGTAAAAGTACAGCGTAGTAAAAATACTCCTAAAAGTACGTTTTTTTCAAAAACGTTAAGTAAAAGTAACTAGTTACTCTGAAGATTTAAATACGTGACTGGACCTCCAGGTCAGAGCTTAATGCTCATAATGTTCCATCATGTTTCCAGTTGAATGGTTCAGCTAAATACGTCTGGACTTTGACTAGGCCTTCATTTAGTTTCTTTGAGCCTTTTGGATCCTCAGGATCCATCAGCATTACTCTGCCACCACCGTGCTTTGCTGCAGCCTTCGTCCTTCCAGAACATTTTCCCAGATTATCAGGATGTTGGATGTTTTCTGGTTCTGTTGGACCTCCTGAATGAGCCGCTGGTACTGCTGGTTAAGATGTGATTAAGATGTGTTTTATAAACTTTCCATATCAGATTATTAAAACACCAAAAGCTAAGTTCAGCCTTCTCGCTTCGACTGCAGCTGCTGCAAGAAAATCTACCAACTTCCTGCTGGCCGGGTGGAAAAATACAGGACACAACGAGAGCCTGAAATGGGGCTGAGTCACCGGTTGCTACGGAAATGGCCCACAGTACCACTCCTCAAACAGTCCATGTGTGTCAACCTGCTGGGTGCAACACCTTTTCCATCATATACAGAGGAGGCCACCAGTCAGATTACAGGAAGAGCTTTTACGCTTTGATCAGCAGAAATCAAAGGCTGTCGCCAGCAGGTTGATAAGGGCGGTTACGCAGGGTGGCATCAGAACCGGGGAGGCACATAAGAACTGCTGTTTGGTTAAAACAAAGTTAAAACATTTACAGTACTGTGAAAACTACTCCACACCTTATAGACTTTAGATAGGCCATTCATCCAGGAAAACCCTCCACAACCCTTCAAAACTCCTCCACAGTGACGCACAGACCCGCGACCTGCTGCTGCTCCTCAGGGTGTACTTACTTTCCTACAGAGAACTGGGCTCAGCAGTCATAATGAGAGCAGAAACAGTTTTAACAAAGTTGTGACTGAAACAAAACTCCTGCTGAGATTTTAAATAAAGAGTAAATTGAAATGTTTCTTCATGGAAATTGATTTACATTTAAAAATGTCGAATTTTACTGTTTGTGTTGAATTATAAACCTGTTTAAGAGCAAAAATAAAAACCATGATGTATATATATTATAATTCAGCCAGGAGATCAGATAATTCCTAAATGACTTGTGAAAAGGTTTTATTTTTTATTTATTACATAATTTTAAAACATTAAATCAGATGTCATGACCCATTTCTCAAGTAGCCTTTATGCCAAATACTGTTAACTCTTAATTGAGTAGTTTCTTGGATGTAAGAATATATCGAAGTGAGAACTTCGATATATTCTTAACTGACCTCAAGTACTTTTACTTGAGGTCAGTTTTTACTTTACCAACATCTATGTAAAGGTCCGCAGGAATGGAAAGACATTCGCCAAATGATTCAGATCCCGGGAAGGAAACGGAATTCCCATGGCTGTTCGAAAGAAAACAGTTGAAACTTTTATCCAAACACGCCAGTGCGCATGCGCCGCAGTGCAGTGACGTGTCTGAAAGGTGTCAAACGGGATGTAAAAATGATCGAAAAGGCTCCGGATAAACCAACGAACCAGGTTAACAGGAGCCAGAACCAGCCGTTCAGATCGCTTCACAGCCAGGTGGGTTCGGCCAGGTGGAACCGAGAGGAACCGAACCGCTCGAACTCACTTTTCGACCGGATGCTTTAGAAGTCGTCGAGCTAACTTGGCGACAGTTGGCTAACCGGAGTTAACCCGTAGCATGGTGACCAGCCTTAACTAGCCGTGCGGCTCGGTTCTGCTCTCTCGCAGGGCTGAACTCTCGGAACCGGACCGGGGAACCAGAGGACCGGGGGATGTCTCGGAGGCGGCTGGACAGCCGCAGCGGGCTACCCGCCGGGCTGCTGGCCGAGACCCAGACCCCGATCAGCTCCGAGCCGCTGGACATCGCCTATGAGGTGACCGGAGAGCTGGGCAGGTGAGCGGTTCGGTTCTGATCGGGTTCGGTTCTACTGATTGGCCTGAACCGAACTGAACCATGACCTCATATTGATAGTTCCGGTTCTGCAGTAAAGGGACATTTCGCAGCTTTTAATGAGTCTTTAGCTCATGATCTGATCTGAAAGTGAGAAAAAAGTAAAAAATGTAAATTATTTAGAGAGATGAGAGCGGAAATGATTTATTAAACTTTTATTACAGAAATAAGAATCGTTATAGAACATTTTAATTCATATTACAGCTTAAGTACAGCAGAATTTACCAATTTTATTATCTGTTTTTAGTTTATGATTGGTAAAACCTTCATTTGCTTAAACATAAAGATTAAAAAAATTATATTTCTGCCATATTTCCTGTTAAGGTTTCAGTTTTTATGATAATTTTTGTATTTGTGAATCTATTTTTTGTTTGGGTCTCTGGTTCTGGTCGTCCTGGTTTGAGCAGGTTAATATTGTGGGTTTTAATCTGGCTTAAATATTAATATTTATATTTTAATGTTTCTATAAACCCAGTGTTTGTTCTTAAGGCTGTGCGGTCCGACCCGGTCCAGGTTCTCATGGTTTATCCAACTGGACCCATCAGAAGGAATCAGATTCTTTTTGTTTGGTGTTTTCAGAGGAATGTTTTTTTCTGTGATCAGGTTTTGATCAGCAGACAGGAACCAGCCTGCCACCTGACTAACTGCTGATTTATGACCTGTCTGCTGCTCTGGCCGCCATGCTTTGGACTCTGGACTTTAACCGGGAACCGCGGTAACCATGGTAACCACTGTTGCGGTCATGTGAAGGCTGCTGGCGCTGTGCTGGGTGTGATCGGTGTGAGGAAGAACCAGAGCGCAGAAAGGAGAACTGGACTCCATGTTGGTCTGAAACAGGAAGTAGAGGTCTGAAACAGGAAGTGGAGGAAGCTTCCAGCTGATCTAAGATCAGGCGGCGTTTGCATCATCCAGTTTGGAGGAACCAACTGGACCGGACTGGAAGTTGGACCGCTGGCTGCCAGGCAGCACCAGCCGATCCCAGAGTGGATCTGTTAGCGTCACATTTAGCCTGTTAGCATCAGAGTGAACTTTGACCTCTACCTGGAGGATTTAGTTTGGTTTTCTGGGTTTCTTGTCCTGAGATGATTCTAGAACCGCCTGGCCCAATTGGTTCTGATTGGTTCAGATTGGTCTAGAGGTGGAGACAGTAGATGTGGTCAGCGTCTGTGTGGAGAACATCTGGTTCTGATCTGAGCTGCAGCATCTGGGTGGCCTAGATCTACTGGACTGGACCGACTGGTTCTGGGAGGAACTGAATCCAGTTCTGATGATCAGAACCTGATCTGGATCTACAAATCCACAGACTGTCTGAAGATCTGTGTTGCCATGGTGACGGCGTTCTCATCAATATGATTTGTTGTTGTTTTTTTTCCACATAAAATTACTTTTGTTCTGCCCAGAAAATCTATTTTTATTATTTTAATAAATCTAATATTTTTATATATTTCCTTTTCATAAATATAGTTTCCTCCTGTCCAGTCGGATCAGAACCAGAACCAGCAGCAAGTCTGGCTGGTTTAAAACTTTTGCACAGAACTGTAGCTGACGAGCAGAACCTGCAGACAGACGGTTCCGGGGAATCGGGTCTGCTGTTCTGACCGGGTCCGGGTCCTCAGTGGGTTTTCTCTGACCTCTGACCCAGGGGGAAGTTTGCGGTGGTGAAGCGCTGCGTGGAGAAAAGTTCGGGGAAAGAGTTCGCCGCCAAGTTCCTGAGGAAGAGGAGGCGGGGCCGGGACTGCCGGGCCGAGGCCGTCCATGAGATGGCGGTTCTGGAGTTGGCCCGGAACAGCCCGCGGGTCGTCAACCTGTACGCTGCCCACGAGACCGACCACGACCTGGTGCTGCTGCTCGAGTAGTGAGTGGACCTGGGGCCCGCCGGGTTACAGTCCTGACTCAGTTCTGACCCGGTTCTGACTCGGTTCTGTCTGCAGCGCCGCCGGCGGGGAGATCTTCGACCTGTGCGTTTCGGAGGAGCTGCTGCCTGAGGCCCAGGTGACCCGGCTGATCCGACAGACCCTGGAGGGGGTCCAACACCTGCACCAGAACCAGCTGGTCCATCTGGACCTCAAGGTCTCACACACACAACCAGAACCAGAACATGAAGCGGGTCATTTAAGCATTAAGACTTTCTCTGGGTTCTTTGGTACAATTTCCTTTTTTAATGTTTAATTTTCTGACTCCATGTTTAAAAAGTTAAACTAAATTTATTTACTTTATTTCATTTATTAAAGTTTATGAAACGTTTATTCTGGTGTGGCAGCAAATGAACAAACTGCTGCTGGACCGGTTCTCCGGACCAGAACCGCTTCACGACCCGACCAATAGAAACGCTCGCCCATCCCCATGGCAACCAATAGAAACGCTCGCCCATCCCCATGGCGACCAATAGAAACGCTCGCCCATCCCCATGGCGACCAATAGAAACGCTGTTCCATTCTCTGCAGATTTTTCATCCATCTGATTTGAGGTTCTGCTGATCTGGGTCGGTCCAGTTAAAGCCCGGACCAGAGGGAGCGGCGGCTGAACCTGACCTGAACCGGGCTCACCGGGTCGGACCGGACCAGACCTCTTTGATTCTTTGATGGTTCTGAAAGCAAATATTAGTCAGAGTGGAGAGTCGGCCTGCTAATGATTGTTAGAAGAACGCTCAGTACAGTGTGTTGCCATGGCGATGGCTGGGTAAACATGCTGACCCGGTCCGGTGAACTAGTCCTCCATTTTCTCCTGCAGCCACAGAACATCCTGCTGACCAGCCTGGCCCCGCCGGGCGACATCAAGATCGTCGACTTCGGCCTCGCCCGCCGCCTGGGGACGGCTGGCGAGCTGCGAGAGATCCTGGGAACGCCCGAGTACGTAGGTAAGACCCAACCCGGTCCGGCCCGGTGTGACCCGGTGATCAAACAATGGTAACAAACTGAAAGCAGATTCCAGGTTTTCTTTCTGCTGGTTTTGGGTTTCAGGGGAAAGGGGCTGACCTCGGGTGCACTCCACACTTTTCACATCTGTTTTAAAACTGGAACCGTTTCCTCGGGCTGATCCAGTCCTGCTGTCAGCACAGGAAACAGGAAGTGATGAAACGCTCTGAATGACTTCCTGTGTTTCAGCTCCAGAGGTTCTGAACTACGAGCCGATCACCACAGCGACGGACCTGTGGTGAGTTATGGGCCGGGGTAACCATGGCAACAGTATCAGGACGTCCAGTTAGATTTAATTTACCGAGTTTGTTCACCTGAAATATGAAACATTACGAAACATCAGAGAAACGTTGAACGAGTATCCGGTGTTGCTGTGGTTCTGGTTCTGACCCAGCTGTCGGCTCCGCCTGCAGGAGCGTGGGCGTCATCGCCTACATGCTGGTGACGGGCGAGTCGCCGTTCCTCGGAGACGACAAGCAGGAGACGTACCTGAACGTGTCGCAGGTCAACGTGGACTACAGCTGCGACGCGCTGAGCCGCGTCTCCGAACTCGCCGTCGATTTCATCAGGAAGCTGCTGGTCAAGGCGCCAGAGTGAGTACAGAACCGGGACCGGACCGGACCGGACCGGACTACTGGGAAAGTCTGTTGTTATTATCATTATTATCATTGTTGTTATTATTTTTGCTCTCTCAGCGAGTTTCTTGCCAAATTTAGCCACTTTTCAGAACCTCTGGAGACGTTTTTCTGGAGCGATAAATGTTTGAGTCAATGTGGATCTGGATCAGCCAAAGGTTCTGATGACCTGTTTCCCTCTGACCTCTGGTTGGCCTGCAGGGACCGACCCAGTGCCGCAGAGTGCCTCAGCCACCCGTGGCTGTGGCAGCAGCCGCCATGCCTGAACCCGGAGCCGGTTCTGGTCCGGCCCGTCCGGGAGCGGAGCTGCGGCGCCAAGTGGGCGGCGCCGCTGGAGGACAAGGAGAACTTTCTAGACTCGCCCCATTCTCACGCCAAGAGGTTCCGCCTGGAGGAGGAGACGACCGGAGACGGCGACTTCTGAAGACGCCTGAGGCGACGCGGCGCAGACGGCTTCTTCTTCTTCTGTTTTAAATAGTTTTAAGCTCCAGAAGCTCTAATCTGCTTCACTGATCCTCCAGTCCAACCAAAGATAACGGCTTCCTGTTTCTGTCCAGCAGCACTGCTGGACGCCTCCCCCATGACGGCTGCACTGCAGCATCTATTTAGGGAAATCTATGCAGTTTGAATCTATGCCTTAAAGTAGGAAAACCTGTCGAGGTCACCTGGAAGAGCCGCCTGCTGCCGTCACCAGCAGAACCGTTCCTAACGCCGGCCGCTCTCCGCCGGATCTCTGCACCCAAACGTAGCTCAGGGTTTAGTTGTAGAGCAGCTGATGTTCGCACGCCGCGCTGCACACCGTTTCCTGTCAGGACGTACGGCGGCTAACAGCCGCAGCTAACGCCGAAAACTAGCTGCAAACACTTGAACGATGATATTTCAAAACAAAAACAGAAAAACTCTACGAAGGAAACAAACAAAATGGAAAACAGCAAAGACATCCGGTATGAAACGTTGTAAACTCAGTCCTCCGCTCCACTAGGGGGAGCCTGCAGTCGGTAATATTACTTACGAAAATATGCTGCTGTTCTATATTCTAAAAAACTATTTGAAAAAGATGTGAAGTATTTCTTCCTTCCTCCAAATTTCCTCCTGAGGGCCTGGCTCCAGATGGTTTGGTGGTCGGCGCCCCCTGGTGGTCTGGAGGATTTCAGTGGAGGAGCTAGCAGCGTTTCTGTTTCCTGCAGTTTGGGTTTTGCTGATCGTTAGTTTTTGTGTTTGTCAGTTAGCATCGTGTTCGCGCCGCTCAGCCTCCGTACGTCTCTTTCTCTGTAGCACTTACTTCCTGTGCAGGAAGGAAGGGGCGTGTCTGCAGCCATTCCAGAGTGATCATCTCAGGGCGCCGCTCCGCCTGCCACAGGCCTGCTATTGTTGTTATTATTATTAATGTTATTTATGTGCTGGACTGATTCTGGATGTTTTATGAAACAATGAGCTCATGTCTTAATGTTGGCCAATTGTGGAGGGAAGCAGCTGATTGAGGAGGCTTTTATGCTGAAAGGATCTGAAGGAAGTAGAAAAGTGTTGCAGGAAGAATCTGAAGGAGTTTGAGTCGTTGGGCAGCTGCAGGAGAGAAACGAGGGAGCAGAGGAAGTGAGAGAGACGGCGTGCCACAGCGGCTGACCTCATGACCTCACCGCAGGGGACAAAGGGCTCTGTGAGGACGCCCCGTCCCGGGACACCCCGCGCCGCCGCCGCAGGGAGCCGGCCTGACATCAGCTGCTTCACTGGACCTACATGTTTGTTCTGCTGATTCCTCCTGTTCCAGTCAAATCAGCCACAAGCACAGAGACCAACGGCTGAAAGGATGTAACTTTATTTTTATGTTTTTTAATGTTTGAGCGTAATTACATCTTCAACAGAAGAAATAATCTGTAATCTGATAACTGCTGGCTAATCTGTAGGCGTCACAAAGCAAACTGGAAAAGCTCATTAAAGTTGTAGAAAACGGCATCAGTGTGGCGTGTCTGTCCCGTGGCGCCCCCTGCTGGGCACCAGCAGCACGACAGCAAGGAATGCATCAGAAGTCACATTCAGCAGAAACAGGAAAACGAGCTGCTGGCGTCACACTAACTGAGGAAGAGGAGGTGATGAAGAGGGGAGGAGCTTCATCATCATGGACGCCAATCATTTAGAGATTTTATTGAACAGTTTTAATTTCAGGATGAAAAAATTGATCAACATTCAGCTGCTGAAACCAGAACTGGATGTTTGGTTGGCTGGCCCGATCCAAACTGGTTCTGGTCCTCCTCCCTACATTCCCAGTTCTGCCCATCAGAACTGGTCCGATACCAGCCACAGCCTGACCGGATCAGAACCTCACAGCCGGTCCTAATGAGTCCTTAAAAACCCAAAATGCAGATGATCTGACCGGGCCTTCTGATCCAGACTGTTTCCCGGGTCGGATCTGTTCTGAGGCTCACAGTTCTACCTACAGGTTCTACCGAGTCGGGTCGAGTTCTGTTCATCAAAGGAGGAAAAATAAACCCTGGGTTCAGACTGAAGGAATGAACCAGGAGGCTGTTTACCTCCAGTACGGAGGGCCAAAAGAGACAAAATTACATATTGGCTCATCAAATAGATACATGTGTATTTATTTATGACACTTTATAAAATGTGAAAATTAATAATTTAGATGCATAAAATTAATCGTGTTTATTTATGGTTCCTGTGCCTGCAGTCAAAGTTGCCCATCAAGAACCATTGATGGGCAATGGTTATTATTATGTTTATTAAATCAAACATTTATTTATTTAACTTGATGTTTAATTTAGTCATTTCTGGTCCTCTGTACTCTGAATGCTACATCAGATATAATTAGGTTAAATATTAAATTAACATGAATTTTTCACGTTTCATCAAATGTAAACATGTTTCCGATCACGTTCGTAAAGTTCTAAGACCAAAACAGGAAGAACTCGAAACCCAAAACTCAGAACTCCAGGATGACCCGGAAGTGGTTCTGGATGGACGGCGGCTCGTCCTGGAAGTGCAGCTTCCTGCTGGGGCAGGCGCCCAGCTCCTCCAGGGTCTGGATGAACACGCCGTACTCGCGGCCAACCCAGGCCCGCATGGGGTCGCGCACCTCGTAGGGGGTCACATGCGCGTGCACGGAGATGCCGCTGGCCGCCAGCTCCCGCAGCGTCTCGCGGTCCGTCACCCAGGTGCGGCTGCCGCCCGGGTGGCCCCCGTCCAGCCAGAACATGTCTGAAATCCGCCGCACAAAGGCGGCCATGTTGAGGTCGGCGCGCGCCCCGGGCAGCTCGTACACCAGCTGGTTGAGAACCACGCAGCCCTTACTGAAGCCCACCAGGGTCAGGGAGAACCCGGGCGGCAGGCCGCCGGCGCCCCCTGCAGGCGACAGATTGGCCCGCTCCATGGCGTTGGTCAGCAGCGACCTGACAGGAGAAGAAGAGTCTCATCATCATCATCATCATCATCATCTGGAGGACCATCAGCTCTGATTCTACTTCCTGAAGAGTTTAAAGGTTCAAACAGACATTATCATATTTACATCCAAAGCGTTGAAATGAAATTAAGATTTCTGCAGCTTTTAGTTCAGAACTCAGCAGGTTTTCTGTTCATTTCTGGACTTTATGCTAACGCTAACAACACAGTAACGAAGCTAACCATTTCGAGTTCTGATACGGTCCAGACAATATTCAACAGGTCAGAACCAGGATGGATGGACAGACGGTTGGATGGACAGTCGGTTGGTTGGATGGACAGACGGTTGGATGTACAGACAGTTGGATGTACAGACAGTTGGATGTACAGACGGTTGGATGTACAGACAGTTGGATGTACAGACAGTTGGATGTACAGACGGTTGGATGTACAGACGGTTGGATGTACAGACGGTTGGACGGACAGTCGGTTGGATGGACAGTCGGTTGGATGGACAGTCATTGGGTTTCTTGGTGAAGTGAAGTTGATTACTAAAGCAGATCTTCATCAACTGAACAAACGACAGAAAGAGTCTGGAAGTAGGAATTTGTTCCCCAGATCTTTCCTCCGTTCATGTTCCTGCCTGGAGAACCTCCTGGGTCCAATCGGACCGACTGATCCCTGGACCGACCGCTGGCCGATGGAGAAGAGAACCAACCTGAGCTGGTGAAAAGCTCCGCCGTTGGCGGTGTGCTCCGGCGCGCCAAACATGTTGCTCTCCACGAAGTTCTGGTAGCAGCTGAACTTGTTGAGGTACATGCGGGAGGCTTTGACCACCCAGATGTTCCTGTTGGGGAACCGCTGGCCCAGAACCAGGGCCACCTGCTCCAGACTCCAGGACAGCCACTGAGCCGCCTCTGGCTGCAGGGCCATCTCCTCCTTGAAGTTCTGCCAACGGAAAAAAACAAAAGCTTTTAATTCAATGTCCAGAGTGCAACCTCACAAAATAACCACTAGGTGTTAGGGGTTGAAGGACTACATATTTTTTAAGGTCGACTACATCATGATAATAGTCGAGTCGATGTCGACTAGTCGCGGTGACATCATAGTGACGTAAGCGCGGCTGATGCTGATGATCTCTGGGTAGTTACTCGTATAGGAGTCAAATTATCACACTGACCACTGGTGCTGTTGGAACATCACAAACCAAACTTATTATGAACGGATCCCGTTTGGTTACAGTTGAATTCAACGCTGCCTCCTGCTGCTCCTCCTGCTGCTCCTCCTGCTGCTCCTCCTGCTGCTCCTCCTCCCGATGCTCCGCTGATCAGCAGCGGCTCTCTGAACCGACATGCAGACGGCGGCAGACATCGCCTCTATCAGACCCTCAGGATGAAGCTTGGACTTAGTTTCCAGATGTAGTCAAACCTTTTCTTTACAAGAGCGTAAAGCTGCCAGGTTAAAAGCTTCAACACGCAGGATGACGCTGATCAGTTGGGGGATAAAAAAGCCTGACATCAAGCCGCGTTGTCGCACATTACTGTGGTAGTCTTTTTTTTTTAAAGGATTTATTTTTGGGACTAGTTTATTTAACAGCAATCTGACTGTAAGGGGGCAGAGAGGCCTGGGCCCAGCGGATGGAGGACGGGAGTCGGACTCCTGACTACCGCGGGCTAAAGTCTCTGTATGCGGGGCGCCGCGCTAACCACCGCGCTGCGCTAACCACCGCGCTGCGCTAACCACCGCGCCGCGCAACGCCCCTATTGTGGTAGCCTATGCTATAATTTACAGTTTCTCTTTATTATTAAATTATTTACATTTTTATACAATTTGAGCTTTCTGACGAACTCACCTAGTCCACCTTCTTTCATTTCTTTGGAAAAATCTGTTTTGTCATGTGATTGCGACTAGTCGACTGGCCCAGAAAAAAGTAATTGCAGAGAAAAGAATTGACTAGTCGACTAATTGGTCTCTGAAGGAAATGCTAAGGCTGAGTGTCTGTCAGACAGACGGAGGCTTTCAAAGCCTCACATCTTACATCACGTAACAATCCATCTGCTGCTGTGCCGCACTGACAGTTGGCAGGCCCCAGCTAGCTCATCAAACCTGCTAGTATCCATTGGGATTGTGGGAAGTGAAGGAATTTGTCACTGGAAATGTAGGTTCTTTGATGAAATCTCAAATAATGTGGACAGCTCACAGTACGCCTGAGGGATCCTCAGGAGGGTTACTAAATAACCCTCTGAAGAGTTACTAGATCCTTAAAATGCCTTACTGGAGAAAAAGATTTGAGTATTTGGTTATAAATCCATCCATCACTCTAATTACGGTGTTGTGGTTTTAAAACTACAGCTGCTAAGAGACGAGCAGCTTTGCTGTTCAGCAGCAGACTGCAGGCTAGCTAATTTACCAGCTAATTAACATTTGAAGTTTAGATATTTAAAAACCACATTTTATGTTTATAAAATTACAGAAACATGATTTTAACTCTAACTGTAAACAGCACAAAACAAAAAGCTGTTAGATGATGTTCTGAGTGCAGTAAAGTTTTCACACCCCCATTGCTCCGCAGTTTGAGTCTGAACGTTTCCTGAAAGTCGGCCTGAGGCTGAAATCAGGAACGTTTCTGGATTTAAACAGCAGAAACACAGAGGAAGCATCATATCAAACAATCCAAAGATTCAGAAACCAGAACATAAAGGTTCTGAGTTCAGATCCATTAAAACCAGGTCTCCCATATTTCTCAGAGCCCAGCGACCCGGTGACCTTTGACCCGTTTCATCCCAAGCGTCTCTTCAGGGCCGAGCGGGACTGAGCACAACGACCTCATTCAGGTTATTTACATGCTAACGTCACCGTCAGAGCATCCCACAGGACAAAGGTCTCTGGGAAAACCGGGATGCCACGGGAATGCTAACGCGCTAATGAGCCGCTAACAATGGATGAGCGGGTTGTAAGTCAGGAAAACTGAGGGGAAATGGAGCGCTGTGGGGTCACTGGAGGTCAAAGGAGAAGGAAAACGGTTTGATGTCAAAACGAAACGAGTTCAGCAGCAATCAGTCGGCGCTGATGCATGAAATCTGTTATAAAGGTAGAAATATGAGATTTACTGCAGATTAAACCAACTATAAACATATTCATGATCCTACTTCACATACTAAACAGTTTCATATTTTGAACTAAAACCCAAAGCTTTATTTTTTATTCTAGACCAAACAAAACTCTTGAATGTGAAAACACTCAGTGTTTGTGAGTAAACAATGGAGGGAGACGAGCGTTTCCCAGCTGGAGATGTCGAGACCACAGCCAGTCGCTCCCTCTGAGCCGGAACAAAGAGCTGCTCTGGAAATGTTACCAGAGGCTGAATAAATGTTATGTTCTTCCCTAGAGGCGAACGCCCCCTAGTGGAGGATGGAGACACTACCAATCGATCACAGAACAGGTTTACTAGCCGATTCCTGATGTACAGATCAGTTGCCTTGAATAAAATGACACAAACATAAATGCAGCATTTATGTTTAACATTTTTCTTACTGTGATCACATGTTTAGGCTTATGTCAACTAATATTAATATTTACTATTAACTTTTTTACTCTCAATTGTGAGTCTTTTTTTTTTTTTAACTGTCAACACTTGTAGTATAAAATAAATATCTGCACTCGGGCTGTGATACCTGTCCAGAAGCAGCATCACACTGTGAATTCCCCAACACACATGCACTATTCAACACAAGAAGCTCAAAATTCTTCATTTACTTACATCCAGAAAACAGCTGAAATAATTACTTTCATACTGTCCAAATGTTTCCTTATTTTTTCAGTTTCTGTAATTTTCATTGTATCAGGATACAATTGTGAGTTGAGTGAAACTCATGTTTTGACTGATTTAGATGAACGTATTTTTTTCTTTCCCTTTGCAGTGTTATTAATATTTGAAATCTTAGCTTTTATTTGAAAATAATTTTCGTCACATAGTTGTATTTATTTTCTGGGCCCAACCCCCTTCAGCTGTGCAGCTTAGTAACGCCCCTGGCGGACCTCGAGCAGCGGGAAGGAGCAAAAACCTCCCGGGTAAAATCTGACCTGAATGTCTCCATGGAAGAAGACAACGTGTCTGTTGCTGCCCCTCTCCTTGGTTCCGGAGCAGCTCTCTTCGTCTGATTCGGGCCGTAGCAGCAGCAGGTCGTTGACCCGGTTCGGACCGCAGCCGGAGACTCCGACCAGCCGCTGCAGTCGCCTCCCGTTCGGGCTGCCGGAGCCCTGCGACCCACGGAGCCCACAGTGAGCGGTTCCCGCCACGGAGCTCATGTGTTCGGCCACGGTGATGAGAGTGATGCCCGCTGCTACGGCTGCTGCTGCTCTGGAAGTCAACATGGACTCCGAACCAACATGAGTTGACAGTTTTCTGCTCCTCTGCGCAGGCAGTAAACACTGCTGCTAGCTGGCGGCACAACAACTACTTCCTGTAACCTCAAACTGAAATAAATACTCTGTCAGTTAGCAAAAATGGCCCGCCTCACACTGTAGCACATTTTTAAAGAAATATATTAAAATAGTGACAGCTAGAGACCATTTGTGACCACAGAGAGGCGCTGTTTATCAAAAATACAACCACCAGCTTCTCTACGTCCTGTAACAAAGATACAACACAAGATGAGTCACGCCGACCTACTTCCGGTTACGGTGATGGTCAACCAGAGAGCTTTTTAGCGACATTTTTCTGCGAACCAAATAAATACAGTAAGCACGGAACTAAATCCTTTAAGAAATGCACATTAAATTACTTTGGAAATTAACGGAGGTGGGTAAAGTACCGAAAAATTGTACTCAAGTATGACTAACACGGCGTTAGCACATTTTACTCATATGAGTGTCAAAGTTAATGAAAAGGCTGTTTATGTTTTGAGCAGCTGCTGATCATAACATCCATCCATCCATTTTCTTCCACCCTTATCCCTCTGGGCTGCTGGTGCCTCTCCAGCTGTCACCTGGACACACACACACAGACACACACACACACACACACACACACACACACACACACCCCTAAGGAGAATGTATACAGACAAATTAACCTTGATCATAGCATCTGATTAAATATTTAAAATAATGTAATCAGACAGGCAAAAAGATCCAGTTATGTGGAAATTCTGTTTTTTTAAAGGTTAAAATGTATTTTTTTATTATTAATTTTTAAATTTAATTTTCCTTTGGTATTAATAAAGTATTTTAAATTGAATTTAATTGAATTGAAAATTACTAATATAAGATGATCTTAAATTGACTTAGCTCATTTCAGTTCAGTTTAGCAAAATTAGATTAGTTTAACTTATCTTAAGTTAGTTAAATTTAACTTAGCTAGTTGGATCAAATTGGATGTAAATGTTCTGTATTTCAAGTATTTTAACTCTTAAACAAACTGACTAGTTTAAATTGAAACTGCATGAACCAAATTCACCCAGAAGATGGCAGCAGAGATACTGGAAGCTTTCGCTTGTTAAAACCGTAATAGGAAAGGGTAAACAGTGAACTATCTTGCTGTTTGAACTTCAGCTGAACATGTCGTCATGTGTTAAAGTTCTGCTCATGGAGCTGAGTTAATCTGACTGCATTAAATGTTTTTTCCTCTCATGCACAGATAAATGCGTCCAGTTTGCTCCAGGCTGGACTTTGGACCTGTTTTCCAGCTGCAGGTTCTGCAGGTTTGGAGCAGATACTCTCTAGCTGCACGGGATCCAGTTGCTCTGAAAGGTAACTTGCACATGTGTTGCTCCCCAAAGTCAGGATTGTATTTAGGCTTTGGCTTTATGGGAGTTTTTCTTTAGTTGGATGGATTTTAGTTTTACTGTTGCTTATGTAGTTTTGCAGCCAGTTTCTTCACATAAATAGAAGATGAATCTTCATTAAAAAGTTAATTAAAATCATTGATAGGACCAAACATACAAGGCAAAGAAGCTTTATATAAAAATAAGTTATTGTTCATCAGACATAGCATTTGACTCATGGATTTGTTTGATGATGCTTGTGTTGTTGCAGGAGCATGGCCTCTGGGATGCTGAGGTCACGTCTGGTTGCTTGTCTTCTGAACGTCTCTGAGGGTCGCAGGAAGGACCTGGTGGAGAACGTGGCCAAGGCTGCTTTGTACGATGCAGAGGGTCAGTCAGTCACATTTTTCACTTATCAGTAACTTTATTAACACTTAATATGGACATAGTCCAAGATTCTCTGGAGATCTGATGCCCTTTAAGCCCCAATGAATCAAACATGTAAAGTGTAATAAAAAAAAAAAGTGTTTCAGTATAAATAAGAATTATGCATCTCTTAGAGCTGGTTTAACTAACTGTTGAAATTAAACAACTTATATTAGCTGAATATAATTCAGCTAATATAAGTTAAACTTAGCCTGTTTACCATAACGTCTTTATTTTTGTGTTTGTACTTGTTTCTTTAACAGGAAGGAGAAATAATCTTATTCAGAGAAATGCTGCTGATTAGACAGACATGTCCAGTTATTAGATCAGATCTGTATAAAAACTCGTCAGATGTTACTGATGGATTTTTAAATTGTTTGACAAAACATTTTAAATCGTTGAACCAGCTTCTCCTCTACCTACGGAAGATTAGGGCCACTGGGAAAAAAATAAAACAGTTCTGACTTTTTTCTCAGAATTCTGAGATTAAAGTCAGATTTTTTTTATTTTATTTTTTTTCCAGTGGCCCTAATCCTCTTCCATATCTGTTAATATATTGTCATGAAAAAGAAATTCTTAAAAACCACAAACTCCAAATTGTTATCTGACAATTTCCAATGACGAGATCATCACTGATTGGCTGTCTGCCCGCAGTGGAGCATTTTGATTGGTGCAGGCACCGGAAGTAATAACTATGTTTCTACAAACACATGGCAAGCTAATTTATTAGTATTTTAAAGTATTTTCTCACGTGTCGGGTGTTTTCATGTGTTTTATAATTATATCTCCTATTTGTATGGTGAATTTTGTTATTTTAATTTAAAATTAATTTCTGATAAATTCTGTCGGTTAATTGTATTTTTTTTAGCAGAGTGACAGCCAAAACCTCCTGGTGAAAAAATAACACTAATTTATTATTGTTATTCCCAGAGATGTTTGCATTATTTGATATTCATTAGGGATGAGTATCGGTTTCTAAACGTTGTCGTTGTTCGTCAGGCATGCAGCGGAAGGAGACCACGGTGCTGAACATCTTCAACGACCATGACTATAACCGCTCCGTCATCACCATCGTGGCCTCCGTCGACTCCATCAGTGAGTAACGGCGGTTCCGGCCCGGCTCCGGCCCGGTTCCGCTGGGATCCAGATAGAGATCGGCAGCAGGAACCGCTCTCCAGCCTTAATGAGCTTTTCCTCGGATTCAGCGCAGAAACATGAGAACGATGTGATTATTTTCAGATTGCTTTATCTCCCAGCCTGGCTCTAAACGCGCCGTTTCCTCCAGGAGACGCGGTGCTGTCTGCGTGCCAGGAAGCGTGCGCGCTCATCGACATGCGCGGGCACGCGGGCGTGCACCCCTGCATGGGGTCGGTGGACCTGATCCCCATCTACCCGCTGGGGGAGGCGGTGGGGGAGCGGGACTGCGTCCAGCAGGCCCTGGGTGAGTCTGGGAACCTTTCAAAGTAAAACAGGAAGTGAAACATGGCGGACAGTTTGTTACACTGTAAAAAATTAACATCAATATTTAGGTTTATGTAGTGTGGCATGGAGAAAAAAATGTAGGTGTTTATTTTACAAAGTCATATTTTCACCACGTTATTCATACATTTATAAATTTCACAGTTTTAAACTAAATATTTTGTTTTCATATTAAGAACTAAATATGTAAATATTTAGTTTGGAACTGTGATATTTATAAATGTATGAATAACGTGGTGAAAATATGACTTTTTTTCCTACATTTTTCTCTGTCATGTTAAATAAAGCTAGACATCGCTGTTAATTTTTTGCAGTGTAACTTTACATCATGGTGGGTTTGTGCCTCCCATGTGTTGATTAGTCTGGCGCTGCTGACAGAGCGCTGATAATGAGCCGCAGCAGCAGGTACTGCAGCCTCTGGGTGTGCTCACAGGTTAGAATTAGCGCGGCGCGGCTCCGCTAACACCGCTTCCTGTTTGGGTGGTGCAGCGGTGGCGCGCGGCCTCACGGAGACCGTCCGCGGCGCCAGCGTCTTCCTGTTTGGCTGGGCGGACGCGGCGCTGCAGCGCGGCCTGGCCCGAAGGAGGAAGGAGATGGGCTGGTTCCGGAAGAGTCCGGACCTGCAGGCGCTCACCGCCGACGTTGGTCCGCCGCCGCGGGAACGATACGGACTCACAGGTGACTGCAGGTCAACCGGGTCAGAACGGGTCCAGCTGAGCAGAAACCAGGTGTTGGTTTATATTTCACCGTGGCTGAGGAGTCAAAGCGGTTCTGCATTTTAGTTTCATTTTTAGTTCATAAATAATGACTAACATGCCACTCTAACATCTTAAATTAGTTTAGCGGAAGCTAAGTGGTCTAAGCGTTTTTAAAGTTAGCAAAACGGTGTTAGCGGAAGTGTTCCCAGAGAAGCTGCTTCTTTGACCTTTGACCTTCCTGCAGGTCAGTAACTGAATCAGCTGATGAGCTAAAACAGAAGCAGCTAATTATAGAGGAAAGTCTGAATTTATTTTGAGTTTAATCATCAGAAAATGATCGATGAGAGTTTCACCAAACTCAACCTTAGCTTTCAGTTTATGGATGTTTTTCTCTTTAACTTTTGTTTTTGTTACTATATAATGGTAGGTTTATGGGCAAACATAAAAAACTCCCATCTGCTCTGTCGTCATGGCAACAAAATGGTCAATGAGGCTGTTTGGTTAAAATGTAGTTTTTCTGTTCTGTGGGTCAAACCATTAAATGATGAAAGAGAGCAGCTGTTCTTAATACAGTTTATATGAATAAAGAGCAGGAGAGAATAAAACAAATGAAATTCAGAAACAGTTGAAACTGAATCAGGATGTTTATCTGGTGAACTATGAGCATGAACCAGTTCATTTAATCCTGCCTGAACTGATTCTAGAACTGTTTTTAAGGATGATCTGGTTCTGATCTGATTCTGAACTGGTTCTGATCTGGTTCTGATCTGGTTCTGAACTGGTCCTGATCTGATCCTGATCTGGTTCTGATCCTTGCAGGAGTCGGAGCCAGTCCCTACGTCATGAACTGTAACGTTTCCATCGATACGCTGGACGTCGCCGTCGGCCGCAGCATCGCCGCCGCCCTCAGGGAGTCGGTGCCCGGTGGGCTTCCTGGGGTCCAGGTGCTGGCTCTGCCACATGAGGGCGCCGTGGAAATCGCCTGCAACGTGGAGAGCGTGGCAGGAGCCGCGCCTGGCGGCCCGACCGATCCGCCGTGGCCGCGCTTTGTCGTTGACGGGCGGCCATATTGCCACGCCCCGGCCGCCCTCATCATGGCCCGGGTGGCGGAGCTGGCGGGGCAGCAGGGGGTCGGGGTGAAGGGCACCGCCCTGGTGGGGTTTACCCCCCAGGAGTGCAGGGGCTTGGCTGAGCTGGCTTTGTCTGAGGGGATCGGGGAGTTCTGGAGGGAGCAGCGAAGGATCCACATGTGAAAACCGACCAAGAGAAAATGACTGAACTACAGACACAAACGATTCTCCGACTTACCACTGTCACTGTAAGGGGCAGTATCATGTAAAGTCAACTTTATTACATCATGTCATTCCCTCATCGAAATCAAACCTGGAGCGTTGCTTTGAGTCTTTCATGTATGAGAAATCCTTTCATCTCCATGGCAACCATTCAGCTGAGCAAAATGCCTGGGTGGACCAAGCTCCGCCCACGAGCCGCAGATCCTCCTCTCAGCTGCAGTTTCCAAGCTTCCGACCACCCACTCAGCTCCTTCAGACTAGCCAGCAGGAATTAGCAAACACCTGCTGAGATCATTATAGGAGCTGCTGCTCAGAGCAACGCTGGTAAAAACGTTGTTAAAGGGTTAATATAGGAGTCATGTCTGGATGATTTCCTGGAGGCGGAGCTTCAGGAAGAGCAGGAGCTTTTAATGCTGCCTGTTGTTGAGACGCTTTACCAGGTCGAGAAAGAGTTACATGTTGGTAGACAAGGGGCCCATTGTAAAGAGTTAGATTTTTGATTCTGCTAGACGCTAAGGCCCATTTCTCAGAAAACAGAAACTTATCAGGCCACAGAGACATGGTGTGATTTCAGGGAGCGTCTTCAGTCCATATCAGCTGCCCTCCTCCTCCTCCTCAGATGCTGCACAGACTTTTAGAAACTCTTCTCGAATGTAATGGAAAAAGCGTCTCCTTTCAGCCCTGAAACTGAATAAAATACGTAAAGTCTGAACGATTTTGTTGGCTGATTTTATGCTTCATGTGTCAGTACAAATTTTGATTAATCGATTAGGATTTTCATTCTCAACACTGTTTAAAGGTTTATTAGATTAAAATTAGTTACAAGAACAAAGATAGCGGCCATACCAGAGTAGAAAAGAGAAATGTTTCAGAGTCTTCTGGGGGACAGAAAATGGACTTTATGTGGTTCTTATTTGAAATATAAACACTCGACAAGATTCTTAAGTTTTTGTTTGATTTTGTTTCCAGCATTTCATGGAAAAATGATCAACCCTTTTCATGCAGGAGAAAACAGGTTTTTAAGAAAATGGCCGCCTGTGGGTTGTTGACTGTGACGTGTATCCAATCAGAACGCGACATGACGAAAACAAGGAGACGAAACAACCGTCATGGCGCAACAGAAAGTCCTGTGGACAACGCAAACAGTATTGTCTATTATGGGATTGTTTTTGGATCATTTTTCTCTGTTATAGTCCATGAAAGATCGCCATTTCTTCTTCTCAGTCGGCCATATTTATTTACTCTGACCTCACGTTTGGTCTCGAGAGAGTTTCCTGTCTGACATGTGGCAGTGAGGAGCAGCCGGTTCTCCATGGCAGTATTTGTTGGGAAAGTGGTTTTTAAAAGGTGAGGTATGCTAACACACACACACACACACACACACATTGCATCTCTTTAGGCAATGTGTGCGATTTAAATGCAACAGTGTAGTGAAACTGAGCTACTGCTAGCTGACGTCTTGATCAGTTCAGGTTCATAACGTAAAAAGCAGCATCGTTCAGTTTACATTAAGCTCCGCTGCTGATTTCAACATTCACACTGTTGCCTCTGGTGCGGTGACGCTGCTAGAGATTGACCAATATGATAAGTTTTACTTATCGGCCGATTAATGCCGATATATCGTGGAGAGCTGTGCAATGTGAAGCAAAGTCCATTTTTCTCAACATGCTACTGACCAGCTAACCTTAGTAATGTTTTTGTACAGAATGAAGTTCGTTACTGGAGGTTAGCATGTTACTGACAGCATGTTGGCTAATGACATGCAGCAATCAGACACAAACTGTTTAGGCTCTTTTAGCTTTGAATCACACACAAGCCTCTTTAAATTTCCTCAGAAATGTTCCAGTTATTTGTATTAAAGTAATTTTCACTTGTTGACTTGTGAAAGCCAAACTGAAGTATATTTAATTGCTCTTTCCAACAGAGAGAAAAAACACGTTAAAAACGTTTAGATCAAATAAGCTACTACTTCTTCTTCTATGGCGTTTTCTGGCAGTTTACAAACGTTGTGCATTACCGCCATCACCTGGACGGAGATGTGCCCCTGATCTAAGTAAACAGAATGATTTAAGCGTTTCATGGCTGGGTCACGTGTCTTCTTCTTCTTCCAGAAATCTAAAGATGGCCGCCCTCATGTTTCTGCTCTGAGCTCCAGTCGGGCTTTAATGTTTCATAAATTCAGCCTTCTTTGGACAGGAAGGTGAATAGTTGTAAACATTTAATTTAGTAAATCTGTTTTTTATTATTTAGGTTCAATCTTGTCATTGTTGAGTAACTTAGTAAAGAACTAAATGATCTGAATCTTTTAAAGTAAATCTGTTTTGTGTTTTTTTCTTGTCAAGCTGCTGGGTGTTTTCTGTCTTCTTTAGCAGCTAAACTTTGAGTTATTTCAGTATTTTCAGAGTGGATTTTTCCCTCTTGACACTTCATTTCCTGTTTTGGAGCTAATGATGTTTCCTGGTGGGATTTTTCTTGTCTCTGTGAGAGAGCCGCCATCTGTGAGCGGTGCTGCTATTTTTAGCAGAACTCAGTCAGAACCTCACAGGAACTCCAGCAGAGTCACTAACCAGCTGAGGCTACATCATGAAGGTGGATGGACTTTGACTAGGCCACTCCAGAACCTGGATTGTGTTGTAGCTCTACTGGTGTTTGGATGAAGGTTCTGCTGTTGGTTCTGCTGGTTTTAGGTTCTTCCAGGCTGATGTTTCTGGTAACTCAGTCCTGGTACCAGTCAACAAAAATAAGATAGAAATGAATAAAAATGAGCAAAATCTGTTCATATGCTAAAAGTTCAGCATTTTACCCAAATTAACAGTGGCAGTGGCATTATCAGCAGCCCATTCAAACTTCTGTTTAAAATAACTTGGAATAAAGAAGCTGCAGATTGTTTTGAATACAGTAATGAGATATTTTCACCACAAATATTTGTTTATATATATAATAAAATCAAGATCGAACATGGCCACATTTTAGCTAAAACAGATTAAAATTAAAATCAGGTTGAGATTCAGATAAAATCAGCATTAAATCAGAATATTAAAATAAAACCTGCAGGATTAATCAGAGGCTGAATGTGTTTATCGTTTGGTCGCGTTTCGGTCCAGATGTTTTCCTACGATTATGTAACCTCGTTATGGGATGAATCCAGTTTTTGGCATACAGAGATTTTTTTTTTTTTTTTTGGGAGACATTTTAAACTGCAGCTGTTGCTAATCTGCTGATCCGGTCCCGCAATCTGAGGCGGCGGCGGGATTAACCTGCTCTGTTCCGGGCCGGTTGGACGCTCTTTGTGTGTGTGTGTGTGTGTGTGTGGGCTGCAGAGCATCAAGGCCTAATCTAGGTCACCGCACGCGCCCCGAGGCTTCCACGCATCAACACGCATCACGATGTTTACATGGAAGTCACGTGACCAACATGTAAAGTAACGTTAGTTTGACGAAATGTCCCAGTTTCCATGAGGCTCCGATGTCTGTTATTTCATTTCGTTTTGTAAATCGCCTGGATGTTACTTCCGTCTGATAATTGAATTAAATTATGAATCATGTTTTGATCAAACTGCAGCATTCAGGCTTTATTCCCGTAAAAACAGCAGCTTCTATAAATACCCCCTCCCCCCCTTGTCTGTTTTCCTACAATCACTCCCACTTCCTCTGTGCAGCTCTTCTCCCTGCAGTGAACCAGAACCGGCCCGGTTCGGTGCTGCAGAATGAGCGCCGCTCAGTGACAACATGCTGGATTCTTAATAACAAATTTCTCTTTTTTTAGTTAATTTACTGAAATATCAGCTGATGCGGTTGAGGCAGTGAAGGATCAGATGTTGGTGTCAGGCTGACCTATCGCAGCGCAGCGCGCCGCCGGCCAGCCCTCCCCCACCCGGACACATGCTCAGCCTCTCCGGGCAGGCAGGGCGCAGCGAGGCGCAGCGGACTGGAAGCATGGCGGCGCGGCGGGAGGAGGCTGCGGGAGAGGCGTAGAGGTGGAGAGGAGGGAAGGAGGGAGGGAGCCGCTGCTGCTGCTGCTGCTGCTGCTGCTGAGGAGCCAGCACATCCTGCCGTCCGACCCGATCAGTTCAGGTTCGGTTCTGATCCCTGAACAGCTGCAGCCGGATGATGCGGGATGTCTCCAGAAACCTCCCAGGCTGCTGACTCCGCTCCAGCCGTCTCCGTGGAAACGCGCAGGTAAGGATGCCCAGATGGGCCTTTCTCTGCCATGTTAGCCTCCTGCAGCGCTGCATCCAGATGCATCTAAATGCAGCAGCATCACGCAGCATCCTGCATGCAGGGAACCATCGGCAGCAACAAGTAACCGGGCTTCCTCCTCCGAACCCGAAAGTAGGTTAAGATGGCCCGGATGGAGCAGCTGGTGAATAATTAAAGGTTCCTGAAGCGTTTTTGAGAGGAACAGCCGGGATGGGTCCAAAGGTTCGGCCGGGTCGGGTTGGTTCAGATCGGGTCAGTGTTCAGGTTCATCCTGCTGAACGTTCCTCCAGGGGGATCATCTGAACCCGTTCGTGTTTGTTTGACTGTTTCCTTCCTGAATTTATCATGTCATCACGATCAGATTCTGATTTATTTATGAATAAAACTCTAAAACCTTCCAAGCGTCGCTGCTTCTATTAATAACGCTCTATAAAGCAGAGATGCTCTGGAGGAAGGTAGATGTGCAAACCGGGTCAGAACCAGAGCGGGTGAATGACTGATGGGTCAGGTTCTGAATTTTTAGTATTTTTCGTATTTATGAACTGCTGATATTGATGTTGAATATCAGGAAAAGAAGGAACTGCTGCCTGAGCAGACTTCAAAATAAGAGCCTGAATATAAACATCTAACTGCTTGATGAATTCTTAAGTCGATAACCTAAACGTCAACATTAATGTCTTCAAAGTTCACAAAAATGCTAAATAAAAATGTCTTTGCTTTGCATTAGCAGGTTAGCGGAAGTCAAAGCTGCTGAGACTAAGATGGCAGAACTGTTTAGTGTGGATGGCGGTAAAATAAACCTCCTCAGGTTTTAACTTGACCTCCATCGATCCAGATATCGTCGTCAGTCCTGCGGTTTCTTCCATCACCACCAGACCTGTTCAGTCCGCTTTAACCCGACTCCGGTCCATTTGCCTATAAAGTCCAGCTCGTTTTTTTGGAGGTGTGAACGCTAATCGACCTCTGACCTCTGGACCTCTGGTCCTCCAAATCTTGATCTGTGTTCAGTTTAAATGTATATGGGTTAGGGTCTCCTGCTTTTGGAGACCACTCCAAAAGCAGGAAGTGGACTACAGCGCTGCATTCTGGGTAAATACAACCAAAACAAATGTACTAGCCTGGCGCTAGCAGCAGAAATGGCTCCTGGTCTTTAGCCAAAGACTAAACAGAAATCCTCCAACTGCGAAAATCTGTTTTTCAGAACAAAGCATCAAAGTTCATCTTTAAATAGATAATAAATGGAGGATTTAAATCCTCCCACTTCAAGTGCTTTTGATTAGCAGAGCATGTTGCTTCTTTCCTTCTTAAATCCCATCAGAAGCAGCCAGGGTGTACTTACTTTATCACACTCAGCTTCTTTCTTTGTGACACAATGAGCATTAAACCTGGTCTGTTTTTCTTCCCTTCAAATGTAAGTTTAGAAACTATTTAAGAGTAAATTAAATGTTTCCTTCCTGTTTTAAGGAGCAGAAGCTCCGCCCACTGCGTTTTAATGAAACTCAAAGTCGTTTCAAACCTTAAAGAGTTTTACTGGGATTTTAAGAGGCAGACCAACACAAACTGGAGAGTAAATACAGATTCGTGTTTCATGTTCATTCAGACCCCTTTATTCTGATACCACTAATAAAATACACACAGCCTTTATGTGGTTCACACTGGAAGAAGTGGTCAAACCGGGTCGACGTAATGCTGATCTCTGATTTTTGTCAGGGATGTTGCTCCGTACCCATTTTGTTCCTGCTCTTGTTGTTTTGATTTATATCCATATTTTATTTATAATCTTCCGTCGGTTGTTTCTCTTCAGGTCCATCTGTGCTGGTTCCGTTTTCCTTATTGAGCCACTCAGGTAAACTGCTGAGTCAGTTAAAGGTTAAAGGTCACGACGCTGAACCACTAAGGCTGTTTGGACACGTTGAAGGAGAAAAGCCTCTTCTCCCTAGAAACACGATGGCTGCCAGACTGAAGTTAGCCGAGCTGCTTCTGGATGAAGGAAAGCTGAGGCACGGCGGTGGAGGGATGATGATATGGGCTTTTTTTAGGGTTTTAGTGAAAACTGATTTTGTGTTCATGGAGACGGGTTAGCCTGCATGCAGATGAGATGAGCCGAGTTTCATTTCATTCATGAAGGAAATCGTGATCCGCTGGAGCAGAATCATCCACTGAAACACAAAACAGAGTCTGGAATAAATAGCTCTGCATCAAAGCTCTGCGCTGCCTGATTGGTGGGATCGTCACTGCTGGACCCTCTGCAGCATCAACCATGCATAAAAAGCAGCTCTGAGCCAGAAATATCTCGGCTGAGGATTATTTATAGAATGAAAGAGGAGATGGGTGCATAAAATCTCCATGTTTACGCCACAAATTAAAATCTTCCCGGAAGCATCAGACGAGCTTTTAATGTTTGTCTCAGTTCATTTGATTCTTAATTTAATACTTAATTTATTAGTTTATAAAATGTGCCATCCTTTGAAGGAAGAGAGAAGCTAAAATCTTCCTGCAGTCTGCAGAGGACGGCCAAAACAGTAATAATTCAGGTTATTTAACCAGTTATTAGAAAAACATTGGCTTTATTTTTGTTAAAAATTCACTTCTATTTTCTTCTCTTATAACAACCAAAGTAAGTGTGTAACCTTTACAGTAGTTCTTTGGGTCGTGGTGGTTCTGAACCTGCATTGATTCATCCGAAGGAGCCATTTTGGGTCAGATCACTGAGGCCTGGTTGATGGTGGAGACACTGAGAAAGTTATGACCCATGATTAAAATCTGAACCTGTGCATCAAACCCAAACAGTTGAAATGAACTGTTTGGGTTCATTTCCACACAGTTCATTTCAACTGTTTGGAATTGAACACACAAGGGTTAAAGCCGAGCCACTTTAACCCTTGTGTGTGTGAGGACTGTGTGAGGTCGGTTGGACCCCATTTCCACATACAAGGGTTAACCTGACAGTGTATGAATATATCTGAGCCGACATGTAAAAGTTTAGATCTGAATTAAAGTAAATAAACTCAAACATCTAAAGATCATCAGTGACCATTTGGTTCATGGAGAAGTGTGAACCAGCCTGGACTGAAGCTAGCTCAGTGTTTCTCCCCCTGGTCCTCAGCCCCCCTGCTCTGCATGTTCCAGATGAGCCTCTGTTCCAGAACAGCTGATCCAAATGACTGCAGGACCATCAGGAGCTGCAGATCCTGTTAATCACCCAGAGACACAATCCAGGTGGCAGAAGGGAAACACCTGAAACATGGAGGACAGGAGGCCTGAGGACCAGGGTGGAGAAACACTGAGCTAGCTGCAGCTAGCAGTTAGCCGCTGCTACTTGATAGCGGCGGCTAACAGCTAGCTGTGCCATCAGCAGGATGCGATCTGAGGCGGAGATATGTTTGGGTTAAACACCCAGAGGGACCGGCCTCTGCGGTTCTGCTCTCTAACTCCAACATGATTACCGCTAATTACCCGCCGCTTTGCTCCCATCCATCCAAAGGAAGACTCTAATTACTCTATTTACACTGCAGTTCCTCTAAGTAAAAACGCTGCATGTTTTCCTCGGTGTCCTGCTACTTTGACTGGAAACAGATGAAATGTGAAGCAGCTGAGAGCAAACGGTGGTTTACAGGATCCTCACAAACAGGCAGCGTTTTAACCAACACCTCCACCACATTGTTTAAAAAATAACAATGTACTCACGGGATTATTATTATTATTAATTTTACTATTATCTTAGTGTTGTATGGGGGCAGAACTATGACCTGTCAGCCAATCAAATTGCTTCAAACCACCACTTCCTGTTAAGTAGTTCTCATGTGACGTCACACTTCCATAAACTGTGACTGGCAGCCATCTTGGTTGGCAGTTACTATGACAACAATAAACCAGCTTACACCTAGCTCTTGCTTTGTTCCTGTTTAACTTATGAACAATCAGTACTGCAGTACTCTAGCCTCTGTTAATTAATTATCAGTGACATTTACTGTAGTATTTACTGCAGAACTAGCTTAGCTAACTCTCCGCCTCGTGCGGGTTGATCCTGACAGCAGCCATTTTGTTGACAGATATTTCTCTTTCACATTGGTGAAGAGCGTTCGTATATTTGTTCCTCTGCGCTTTGGTTTGCCTACCAAGATGGCGCTGGTCAGTTCTGCATCGGACTTCTAGGAACTTTGTATCAAACTTGGCGCCAGGAGGTTCATCTGTGGGCTGAGCTGCTTTTAACAACATATTAAAGTATAAAGTTATTAAAATGAGACGATATCAATTAGAAATCATGTCAAGGGAAAAATATTGGTGCGTTGTTTGTAATCTCTGTTTTCCATAAACAAACAAATAGCTTTCTAAAATCTCCAATTTGATCTGAGGTTTTTAAAATAATTTTTAGTGACATTAAACTGTTTTTGTGTGGATTAAAGAACAAAACTAATACATATGTTAGTTTTCCCATGTATTTGGCTGTGCTTGGACTAGGCCAGCGAGCGTCTGCTGACCGGATCTGCTGGTCGTTCACATCCAGCTGTTGTTTCAACTGGAAGCTTGAAAGTGAGACTGAATCATCAGATTTGTACTGAAATGTCATTTTTCGGTCTAATCTGTGATTTCATGGAGAAGTCTGTCACATGATCAGGTTTCACTTTGATCTGTTAAATGATCTTATTTTTCTGCATCTTTCTGATCTCTGAAACTAAAAGTGTTTCTGTTCAGTAACATGAGGATTAATTAATAATTATGCTCAGGTTCTGCGGTTCAGTATCTTTAATATCTGATCTGTTAAAGTTTCATTGGTTTCTGCGGCTCTATAGAGCTGCGTGTCGCTGCGTCCGTCGCATTTATCAACGCTAGAAAAGAATCATTCAGTCCAAACATCCCATAATAATCATCTACTGTAGCTCACTGTGCTCATCATGAAGCTTTGTTTTTGTTAAACAAACTGGTTCTTCTATTATGTCTTTTCACAATAAGAGCATTTATAGATCAGCACCACTCTGAGAGCATTACAGTCACTTAGAAAATAGAATTAAAAGATATAACATTTTTTTTGTGAAGAATAAAAAACAAATGTATCAAAAAAGTGTGAAATATATTTAAAGCGCTATATAAGCTTAAGTTTTTTTTTTATTGCAATATCTTTCAAATATTTAACACTAAATACTCACCGCCCTCCTGTCCTCCATGTTTCAGGTGTTTCCCTTCTGCCACCTGGATTGTGTCTCTGGGTGATTAACAGGATCTGCAGCTCCTGATGGTCCTGCAGTCATTTGAATCAGCTGTTCTGGAATAAAGGCTCACCTAAAACACGCAGTAATAATTTAATTAGATAATATTTTTTAATATTTTATATTTAATTAGATAAATTAAAGTGAAAAGTATGAACACATTATTATTAATCAATTGAATTGTGACATCCAATTTAAGATTATTTAAACAAAATACAAATAATCTCAATACAATAAAAAAATAAAAAATACTTTTTAAACCTTTGAAAAAATGCCGATAAAAATATTAGAGTCGACAAGTTTTTATCTATTTATTTTTGAAGAAAAGTTAATTATTTTAATAACTTGGTTGTTTGTGAGGCTCAGGGTCAAAGGGTCAGAACGGGAACAGACAGCAGAAAATATTTATTAAATGTATTTTAAAATATAAAGGTAACTTTTTAAACTTTTTATAGTAGTTTACTTATTTTGCACAGTTCTCTTTTTCTTCATTCTTTGTGTTGAAAGTTAAAAATCTGTTTTCTATAAAACAATAAAGCAACAAGAGTTAAACAGGTTTGATGTGAATCTGAAAATGAGAAGAGCGCCCTCTGCTGGCAGAAGCATTTAATTTATTCTGAGGGATTTTTCTAATTCACTTTTCTGATTAAATTAACAAAGATAAACACATTGTGAATCATAAAATCTTTAACATATTTTATATGTGTAGTAAAAAAAATAACATAACTTCACCAGAGCTGCATTTTCACCTTTCAGAGTCAAAATCCTCTGACTTTGTTCAGATATCATAAGGATTTATTAAAGGAGGGAAGAAGTTTTAAAACTAAATAACGAGGGTTGATTATAGCGAAAATGAACCCTTAAATTAAATCCTGTAAAATGAAAACGCTGAACTGATCCTCCGTGTTGGCAGCCAGCAGCCAGCAGGGGGCGGTACTGATCTACAGGAGAAACTTTGGCTTCCGTCGGAGATCTGACTGATTCAAACATATAAATCCGATTGAATAAAACATGTGCATGTAATATATATATATATATATATATATATATGTGTGTGTGTGTGTGTGTGTGTGTGCAGTACTAGGCACAGCCAAGATACTGGAGGAGAACCTCAAGGTCCCAGGCCTCTGGTAGAGAGAGAGAGAGAGAGAGAGAGAGAGAGAGAGAGAGAGAGACCACCCGCGGAGGGTGAGAAGGGGATTATTATTTTTTTTTAAATCATGTGAAGCATAATTACTCTGACTGACTTTCACTGACACAGACTCTATAAGAAAGTTCTTGATTTGTCTTCAGTCTGGTTAATATTCATCATAAGGAGAAAGCAGGAGCCGCTGATCTTCAGGTTTTCCTTCCTTTGACTCAAACGTTGCGTTGACAACCAGATAAAGAACAAGTTTTACATTTACTGTGTTGGCAGCTCGTTACTAAATATGAATCAGTGCTAAAGAAAACGCGGCTTGACAGAAAATATAATTTTATCTCCAGCAAGTTGAGTTGTGAAAATTCAAACATTTAAATTTCTAAAGTTAAAATCTATTTTTTTATGTTAGTCGATTTTCTAGCATTTACTTTTTATGAGCCAGATGGAAGAAAATTAAAAATTCACATTGTTATTGTATCTTACCTTGTGCTAGTTTCTTGTTGAACTTGGCTAGTTGTTATTCTTTAGTCTATATTTAGTCGTTAGTCTGTATTATCTTATCCTAGCTTGGCATAATTTATTTAAGCATGGTTTAGTTTGCTTTACCTTATTGTACTTTACCTTATCTTGGCTTGGTGTAACTTATTTTATCTTCTTTTATTTTAGCGCCGCTTATTTTAGCTTGGTTTGGCTTAGCTTAGCCTATCCTAGCTTAGCTGAACTGAATGTAGCTTAGTTTAGTTTATCTTAGCATGAAGCCAGAAACAATGAATAAAAACAGACTATTTTTCAAATGTCTCTAAATGATTTTAAGAAAACCACAGAAATATTCTGTTAGCTTAAACTTTAGCACACAGCAGGCAATGAAAAGAACGATTTGTCTCTTATCCTGTTTCTTTTAAAAGGAGATCTTTTTTTACTGGAACTTGATACCTTAAATTAAATATGACAGGGAAAACTTCTTGGGCATAAACAATGTGTTGCCTTCACTTTGCTTTCCCTCCAGATCAGTGAACAGATGTGCAGAATCTTTGAAATCCTTCCTGGGATTTAGTTTTGAAAGATGAACACAAACTGTTTGCTGTTTGCCCTGCAGCGCCGCCGTCGAGTCGGATCCAGAATAAAACCCCAGCTGGTGAAGCTTTGGAGAGCTGAGAGGAGAGGAGCCGACTGAGCGCGCTCAGCAGCAGATGGTGACACTGCAGCAGCACTTCTCCAGGTACTACAGCATGCTAACGCAGCATGCTAACGTAACATGCTAACGCAGCATGCTAACGCAGCATGCTAATGCAGCATGCTAACGTAACATGCTAACGCAGCATGCTAACGTAACATGCTAACGCAGCATGCTAACACAGCATGCTAACGCAGCATGCTAATGTAACATGCTAATGTAACATGCAAACACAAGATCATAGTACACCATGCTAACACAGGATGCTAACACTTAATATATGTGTTTTATGCTTATACATACTTAATTTATGCGTTGGTATTGAATAAAATCCTGAAATTTACATTAACTGAAGGACTTTTAAGGGATCTGATTAGCAAAGATAAAAAGTGTAAAATAGATAAAAAATTTTGATCACACGTCAGAGAAAATGTGTTTATTTGGTAAATAAAAACTCAGTTATTAATTGAATAGTAATGGGCTCCGGCCCTGTCTTTGTTTCTGTTGCAGTAGGGAAATGGGTTAGAGCGCCACTGCAAGGGAACTGGACATTCATTCATTCATTCATTCATTCATTCATTCATTTATTCCTGCTCCTGAAGAGTGAATCACGCTGAGCAAAGCCTGAAGATAAATGTCGCAGACCTGGAATAATGAAATTAGGACAAAACAGAGAGATCTCAGCTGGAGAGGCAGGTGGCGCTCTACTAGTCTCCAGGCCATCAGTTCTGTTCTGTAGTATCAATAAATCATTATACACACTGTAACTGACAGCAACATGTGGGGGAGGGGCGGTGTTTCATTACAGTTTACAGGTTTTAGAATCAAAATAAAGTTTAAATTTTAGTGGTTTTAAAACAAAGACTTTATCATATAAATATTTCCACTGGAGGATAATTTAGCTCTTGTCGGCACACTTGTACTAATTTGCTAACATGCTAATAGCAAAGCTATTTTATGTTGAACTTTGCTCATTTGCTAACTGTGAAAATGTTTAGTGCACTTAGCTTCCCCCAATTAATTCAAAAGTGCAAAATGTTTTTGTTTGTTTTGAAAACTTTCAGTTGAATGAAGTTTGACATGTAGGTTGAATTTCTGGTTATCAACTGTTAAGAATCCTTCATGTAGTCAGATGTTTATGTTCATGCTCTTATTTTGACGTCTGTTTATACATCAGTTCTGTTTCCTCTCCACTTTTTTTCCCTCAATAAAGAAACGAACAGGGAATGGTTAATGCTAAAGGCAGAGCTTTAGCATTAACCAGAGCTTTAGCATTAGTTGTTGTAGCATTTTAGCGTTACTGTAGCTAATGTTAAGGTACTAACTACTAGTTAGTTCCTGTAGCTAACCAGTGCTTTGGGTTAGCCCCCAATTTAGTGCTGCCACTGAGTTTTAGCTTTGTTTTTCTGCAGTTATGCTCATGTGGGAACTTCTTTATTGGTCCTAAAGTCAAAATGCTCCCAGTGAGAATCGAACCTTCAGCTCCTGGCTGTTTGTGGCCTTTGAGCAACATGTGATGGCGTCTACTGCAGCGCTGCTGCGTGAACAGAGTTCAGCTTTTCCTGAGGTTTGTTTCCGGTCAGCGGTGCGTCTCAGTCTGGTTTAATTGCTGCTCCACTCGCATCCAAACGTGGAGAAAAGCTGCTTCAAGCCGCAGAGTGAAATGTCAGTGGCAGTGACATTTAGAGGAAACGGTCAGTGCTGCTGATGCGAGCTGGAAACCCGAGGTGAGTCACACAGCGGCTGGAGGAAAACACTGAGATCACCAGCAGGGCTCAGGCTGCCAAAGCAGCAACAGTTTCTAATCACTCAGGAGTGAAATGAAAAGAAGAAGCAGATTTCAGATTTACAATAAAGTCCAAAATAAACGCTGCTTCACATGGATCAGATTGCTTTTATGATCTAATAATTATCATTTGAAGCCATTGTTTACGCCCAGATTTCCTGTCTGGCTTCCTCTGCTGCTGAATTATGACAGATCAGTGACAGAAAGGTTAAAAGCTATCAGATATGATTAGGTTCAGAGGCTCAGGTCGGATCTTTTTGGCGGTGAAAAGATCAGAATCAGACTGACGTGAAAACGTCTGATTGTTTGGGATTTTCCTGCTGGTGAGCATCACATTTATGTTAGTGCAGGGTGTCCAAACTTTCTGCTCCTGGCACCAAAACCGGCAGATTTGAACTGATGGCAGGTCTCAAAACTCATTTAATTAAAAGTGGAAAAATTAATTTATTTTGATTTAACAAGAATTATGAAATCTGTGAATCATTAATGATAAAAAAACATAAAACAGGCTTCAGACTGCTGGATTATTTATAGGAAAACGGGAAATTTACACGTTTTTGGGTCGTGTTTTTTCTACCATTGTTGACTTGGGGTCAGGGGCCGAACAAAATCATTTCAAGGGCCACAAATGGACCCCAGACCGCAGTTTGGACACACTGCCTTAGTCTGTCTGGGTTTCTGGTTCGTTAAAAATATGTCTGTCTAAACAAATCCTACCGGTGGTTTATTTACAGCCGTGTAGGTGCGAAGATGTTCTGAGGCTAATTTATTGCCATGGCGAAGTTGTGGATGTTATGATGAAGTCATGAGGTGTGAAGATGTTCTGCTAAACGGGATCAGCTTCCTGTTCTCTCAGAAATTATCTAATTATCAGACAGATTTCTGCGTCCAGTGGCCGAAAACGTCACACGGTTCTCCTCAATGTCTGACTCCTCAGAAACCGTCGCGCATCTTTAGCTTCTGTAGCTTCATTAGCTTCTCTAGCATCTTTAGCTTCTGTAGCTTCATTAGCTTCTGTAACTTCTCTAGCATCTTTAGCTTCTGTAGCTTCTCTAGCATCCTTAGTTTCTGTAGCTTCTCTAGCATCTTTCGCTTTTGTAGCTTCTCTAGCATCTTTAGCTTCTGTAGCTTCATTAGCTTCTCTAACATCTTTAGCTTCTGTAGCTTCATTAGCTTCTGTAACTTCTCTAGCATCTTTAGCTTCTGTAGCTTCATTAGCTTATCTAGCATCTTTAGCTTCTCTTGCATCTTTAGCTTCTGTAGCTTCATTAACTTCTCTAGCATCTTTAGCTTCTCTAGCATCTTTAGCTTCTGTAGCATTTTCATCTAGGTATTAGCTCAGTTAACACATATTGTGGTATTTCTTTCTGTGTTTTGACTAAACAAAATAGAAAAGCACATAAACTGTAACATAAATGCATAAAACATTTTGTTTGAAAACAAAAAAAAAATCAACTTTAATAACAAAATCTAGTTTTTTCTGCAACATTTGGTTCCCTTGAGCTATTTCCAGGTGTAATAACTTTAGTGGTTAAAATGTAAATCCAGTGATTAACTTGGTCTACTTTAATTCCTGTTTATTAAATTTAATTTCCTGCCAACACAAAGTCAAGTTTTATTTTTCACTGGTTTCAATCTGCAGAAGCTTTGATTAGCTCTGCATGTCTGACTCGCCTCCTGCTGGACCTCCCTGGTGAACTTCCACTGGTTGGCCAGTAGGAGGCGGTGCGCCGAGCACCACAGAGTCTTAATGCATTCAGTTTGACGAGCTGATTCCCCTGCGACTGTAGTGAAAAAATTCATAATTCACCTGATGACGTTTATAATTACTGTAATAAACCCACTGTAATCTGTGTGTGTGTGTGTGTTTCTGCAGCATGGAGCAGACGGTGCGGTCCCTGCTCCAGAACCAGGACTCTCTGGACGGACCCAAAGTGGATCCTCTGGACCTGATGAAGGCCTACAAGGTTCAGCTGCTAAATAATTTTATTTTAATTCTGGAACATTTTAATTATAAAGACCGGAGAGAAAGATGAAAGCTGATGATGAATCCAACCTGCCAGGCTTTGATGTTGCTCATTAGTAATGTGGGCGGGGCCAATATGTGCATATCTTTAAAACTAACAAACACCAAACAAGCCAACGAGCCGCATCGTTAGTGGATCTGAGGTTTGTCTCCATCGTTCCTGTTTTCTGTGATAAACTGCAGAATCTGAATGTCAGGAAGAAAACATGAACTTTAAGGTGATTTCAACAAAAAACTCCTGAAAGGGACAGTTCAGCTCTGTAGAAAAGGGGTGCTGTGGAGTAGTCATGAGCAGTTAGTGTCTTCCAGCCAGAGAGGAATAAATCTCATCTCTGTGGAGTTTTTATGCATGTTATTATAGATGAACCAATTAGAGATTTTGTGGCTAATTTTCAGTCACAACTTTTGTAAAATCTGTTGATTCTAAACAAATTAGATTTCTCTTTCAGTTCTACAGATACCAACAAAATACATTATTTTTGAAAAAAAAAAAGTTACCAGAAAGATATTTACAGTGAAATAAACAAGTTATTTTCTTTAAAACAGCCTTTATGTGACAGAGCTGCAACTCTGACAATCTAAAAACATTGAAGTCTAAATGTTTACACCAGGCCTGGAGGTGATGTCACACTGTGTGAGAGCTCAAACAGCTCTGCATTTACACAGAATCAGCTGTTTCAAAATAAAGACAAACCAGTTTTTACAAAGTTCTTGAATCATCTAATGGTGGCCGTTAGCATGATTAGCATCGCTAGCTGTAAGCATCAGTCTCTGTGTGTTTCCTTTTGAGCTAGTGGCTCTTTTATGAACCTTTCTTTACATGGGTGGATGGGGAGCTTGGGGGATCTTTGGTCAGGATGAGGGGAACATTGTTGCCAATTTAGCAAATTTGACGCAACATTTAGCGACTTTTCAAAACATAAGCTAGCAATTTTGATAAAATCCGACTAGCGACAAATTAGCAACATTTTTCAAAAATACAACAAATCCAGTGACTTTTCTTCAGAATGGCAGCTAGCGTTGCATCCTTTGCCTTTTCTCTGCTTCCTGCGCAGGACAAGCTGCTGGAGGAGATGTGGAAGCAGCAGGACAGTCTGGACGGCCCCACCGCCGCCGCCGCCGAGGCGCCGCCGTCCCTGCAGGCCACCGCCGCCACCGCCGACAATCCTTTGCTGGAACGCCTTCGAGCGCTGGAGGTAAGCCGGGTTTGAATGACCTTTAGTCTTTCACAGACTGATGGGCAGCTCATTTCTGATCATTTTCTCTGGGTGTACTTAGTTAGAGGGTGCACTTTCTTTTTCTCATGGCAGTAAAACAGAATAAATTGTGAATAATGAAGTAAGTGAGAGATGTAGGGTTTGATCAGACGATCTGGTCGTCCAGCCTGAAGGTTTCCTCAGGATTAGCCGGTTTATTAATCTGAACGTTGGAGTAAAGCGGTTCTTCTTCTTCGTCTGTTTTATTTCCTGCTGCCTGTGGCCGCCTCCAGATTTATGGGGGTAATCATTTTTGGAGAAAAGTCGCCTCCAGACTCTTTGAAACGGTTTCTGCCCCAGTCCGGGAAATTGAATTTCACCTTCTGCCGGATTGTCACGGAGTTTGATCCCTGAAATTTACAGCATCACCAGTTAGGAGAAACATTTCTGCTGAGATGAATCCAGGGAACGCTGCTGCAGGCCAGAGCTTGGCTTTCAGACCATCTGCTGATTTTTAGCTTTTATTTCCTCGCTCAGCGTCGTTTTGGACTGGGTGGCCTGTATTTACTGGTTTAGGTTTTATTTTAGGAGCGTTGGGTGGACTGGATTATCTGGACTTTTTCTGCTAACGGTTCTGATTCGTCTCTGCAGGCGGAGAACTCGGCGCTGTCCGTGGAAAACGACAACCAGAGGAAGCAGTACGAACGCTGCTTGGACGAGGTCAGTGATTTGGTGTTCGGGGTCAGAGGTCACTATGAGAACCAGGCTGCTTCTGGTTTATACAGTGTGACATAAACCATGAAAACAGGAACAGTTTAATCCGACTCCAGTCTGCCTAGTCAAAGTCCGGTCCGGTTGGTGAGGTGTGGATGCTGGTCGACCTCTGACCTCTGGTCCTCCAAACCTCGGTCTGGGTTCGGTTGAAATTAACTCTGGTTCAGTTTGAATGTGAACGCCAAGTGGGCTGGAGACCTCTCCAAAAACAGGAAGTGGACTACAACGCAGGGCATTCTGGGTAAATCCAACCAAAGCTAACATGTTAGCCTAGCACTAGCATAGTGTCAGAGCCACACTAAGAACTTTATTTATAATTATGAGAATAAAGTCATAATTTACCTCAAGAAAGTCACAAAAGTAAGAGTAAATAGTTATTTTAATGAGATAAAAGCTTGGACAGAGTCAGTTGAAGGTGTCGCCGCCCTGCAGGCCTGTCGCTTTGTGAAATGCTGCCTGTGTGAATTTTCCAAACTGAACAGAAATCTGAGATCATTTCTGAAGAATCAGACATGAGAGGAAATCCTGCTGGATCAGACATTCTCTCTGCTTTCGCTCTGGAAATATTAATGAACTAATTTTAATTAGAGCAAGAGGAAAACACTATGCAGGGTTCAGAGAATTTTTTTTTTAGACGTGGTGCTGAGGGTAAAGTTTGGAGTCACTGGAGGCAGCCGCTGCTTGTTTACCTCCAGGTCGACGCTGTGATGCAACATCCTGTCAGTTTGAGCTCACCGCTCCTCATTATTTCTGTTTTCCAAGCCGAGCTGCAGCTCAGATCTGCGCTAACCTCCCTGTGCTCCCCCAGGTGGCCAACCAGGTGGTGCAGGCGCTGCTCACGCAAAAGGTTGGTTCCTGCCGCACTCAGAGGAAAGAGCCCAAACACTTAGAGTCAGCCGGGCTGAAACTGATGGTAGAGACGCAGAAACCTCCATGAACAGAGCTTAGCTTAGCTTAGCATAGAGTAACGTAGCTTAGTATAGCTTTGCTTATCTTAGCATAGCTTTTTACAGATTAAACATTTTAGAGGCTAGTTTTGATGGCGAAGTGGTGAATTTTGTGTTTGTTGTGTCTTCAGGACCTGAAGGAGGAGTGTGTGAAGCTGCGGACCCGCGTGTTCGACCTGGAGCAGCAGAACCGGATCCTGAGCGTTCTGTTTCAGCAACGGGTCAGAACCTCCACTGCTCCCGTCTCGCAGGTAGGAAATCACCGTGTTTGGATTTTACTCCCACATTTCTCCAGGTTATGCTGGCAGCTTAGTTTTGTTAAAACACATTTTTCAAATATAAACTAGAAAAATTACCATTTTCCTGGGAAGATCCAGTGTGAAAGAATTTGAATCTTTTTGGTAAAATTTGCTGAATTATTTGAAATGAACTATACAGTCATACATTGATGAATCTGAACAGGAAGAACGATGATTTTAGCTCATTTAGAGCTACGAGAGCAGCGTACATACAATTAGCTAACATCTTTAGTGATATGCTAGTGGTTCCTGCCATGTTTTGTAACATTAAATCCCTCCATCTACTGTGATAACAGCGATGTATGAGATCAAATCACATAAAAAGCTAACGTCAGCTGAAACTGTCAGTAGCATGACGGCATCCAGTAGGTTTTTAAAGAAAACGCTAATTTTAGCTAAAATGCTACTGCTAGCCCTCATGCTATCACAAACATGTTGACTAACATTGATTTAGTAAATCCAGTAGCTTTTTATCAAATGAAGTTAAAATACCAACCTTAGCTAAAATAGTGCCCTGATGCTATCACTAGCATGTTGACCAGGTACATCAATTAGTGTAATATGCTAATAGCGGTGTATCAACTATAACTACATGAAAAGCTAATTTTTGGTATAAATTCTAACATTAGCTGGAGGGCTGTCACTGGGATGTTGACAATGTTCTCCATCGAGTATCGGAGCTCGAGGTTTCAAGCTAGAAGTCTCTAAGATGCTAATATAAACAGGTTGGCTAAAGCTAGCATGTTGACTAACATTAATTCATTACTTTTAGCTCAAAATAAGCTAAGAAGCTAATTAGCTTCTTAGCTTATTTGCTACACTTCTCAAATTGAGAAGTGTAGCACTTCTCAATTTGAACAAGAGAGGAAGAAAGAGGAGAAATGAAGGAAGGATGAAGGAGGGATGGATGGAGGAAGATGGATGGATGGATGGAGGATGGATGGATGGATGGATGGAGGAGGATGGATGGAAGGATGGAGGATGGATGGATGGAAGGATGGAGGATGGATGGATGGAGGATGGATGGAAGGATGGAGGATGGATGGATGGAAGGAGGATGGATGGATGGAAGGATGGAGGATGGATGGAGGAGGATGGATGGAAGGAGGATGGATGGATGGAGCGTTTTCTCTCCATCTGTTCTCTCAGTCCTCTGCCTTCCTGGTTGTTCCGACTCTCCTTCTCTCCGGCTCTGGATCAGTCTCTGCTGCCTCCATGTTGGATAGGCCCGTTAGAACGCAGCAGATAACGGAGAGAGAATTATGGATGAACCAGTGAAATGGAAAATGTGTTTCTGACTGGAGATACGCTTGTTAGCTTCCCTAATCACTCTGACAGCGCCTGTTCCCGAAAGGCTGGCTGACTCCGAGTGAGAGCGGAGCGACTCGCCGGGAAGGAAAGACGACTCCAGAGCTGCTGTCTTTGTTCGGCCTGCTTGTTTGCCGTCTTTGGCTTTTTGTTTAAAGATTGTGCGGAGAAGCTGAGGGAGACGAAGAGAACAAACACAGCTGCACGCTGAGCTCTCTGGTGTGAAATCCTGGCAGAAAACCCAGGCTGCTGATGGATCTTTTTCTCAAGTAGACTTTTCCTTCCACTAAACTTCCCATTGGTAAGCTTTAAACTGACCTTGTGGACTCACTGCTGGACATCCGTCAGGTCAGACCGGGGGTTCCCAAAGTGGGGGTCGGGGACCCGAGGCAGCCCCTCTGGAGTTATTCTACTAAATAATGACAACTGGCTGAACTGCTCTGCAGGGAGGGAATATTTATACAGTTTCATGTTAGATATCTGTTTCATAGAAATCTGTTTTCAGTCAAAAACAAAAACATGTTTTATTGCTCCAGGTTGATTAGTAAAAGCAGTCCGAGGGTGTGAATATATTTTATAGGCACTGGATGTTAGGAGTTAAGAGGAAGAGCAGCTTTAGGAGCAAACGTGTCCTTCCTCCTCCTCCTCCTCTTCCTCTAAAGACTCTGTGAAGTTGGGGTGAACAGGGCCGGATCTAGAAGGATGTGGCCTTGGGCTGGTCCACCCAGGTGTTTGGCAGCTGAATGGTTGCCATGGAGATTGAATGATTTCTCAATCCTGAAAATCAAAAATCAAATCAAATTTTATTATTTTATCATTATAGCACATTCCAGCAGCAAGGCATTTCAAAGTGCTTTACATCATTAAACAGTCATGCGACATTGAATCAACAACCTGAAACATTACATTTCCTGCCGAGTCGAAGTTCTTGAAATCGGCAGGAAAAAACACAAAAACAGGGAGGAGGACTCCAAACCCGTTTTCTCCGTCGCGCTTGAACCCGGATTGGGATTCAAATCCCAAATGTTGTTTAAGTTCCATAAGCAGCTCTGACCAGGTGGGTTTTAGTCTGGATTTAAAGCTCTCAGTGTTTCAGCTGTTTTACAGTTTTCTGGAAGTTTGTTCTATGTGGTGCATAGAAGCTGAATGCTTCTCCTTGTTTGGTTCTGGATGCAGAGCAGAACCAGAACCTGAGGGGTCTAGACGTTGGTACAGCGATAACAGATCTTTAATGTATTGTGGTGCTAAACCGTTCAGTGATTTATAAACTAACAACAGGATTTTACAGTCTGTTCTCTGAGCTACAGGTGAAGGACTGTAGATCTGGTGTTATGTCTCCATCTTCCTGGTTCTAGTCAGAACAGCAGCAGCAGCATCTGGATCAGCTGCAGCTGGAGGATCGATTTGGTGGACAGACCTGTGAAGATGCTGCTGCAGGAAACAATGAGACTAAAGATAAACGCCTGGATGAGTTTCTCTGATCTGAGACATCAGTCCTCTGATCCTGGAGATTCTTCAGGTGATAGAAGGCCGACTTTGTGACTGTCTTTATGTGGCTCTGAAGGTTCAGGTCAGAGGTCATCACTACTCCCAGGTTTCGGGCTGATCGCTGGTTTTCAGTTGTAATAACTGAAGCTGTGCATTGATTCTAGTTCGCTCCTCTTTAGGTCCAAAGATAATAACTTCAGTTTTGTTTCTGTTCAGCTGGATCAAGTTTTGGCACATCCACACATTTATCTGTTCTAAGCATCTGTTCAGTAATTGGATGGGGTCAGAGTCACCTGGTGACATCGTGATGTAGAGCTGTGTATCATCCGCGTAGTTATGGTAGCTAATCTTATTTCCTGTTATAACCTGAGCCAGAGGGAGCATATAAATATTGAATAGGAGGGGTCCTAGGATTGAACCTTGGGGTACCCCACATGTGACCTTTGACCTCTCTGATGAGAAGTTTCCGATTGAAACAAAGAAATCCCTGTTTTTATGTAAGATTCAAACCCGTTGAGCACTGGACCGGAGAGTCCGACCCAACTCTCCAGTCGATTCAGTAAAATGTCCTGGTCAGCACTGAGGTCCAACAGAACCAGCACTGTGGTTCTCCCACAGTCTGTATTTATATGGATATCATTGAACACTTTGACTAGGCCGTCTCCGTGCTGTGGTAACCATGGAAACCAGACTGGAAGGAGTCAAAGCGGTTCATTATTGTTAGGAAGTTATTTAATTGTTTAAAAACTGCTTTTTCAATAATTTTGCTGATGAATGGGAGGTCAGATGTCGACCTGTAATCCTGCAGCAGTGATTTGTCCATACTGTTCTTTTTTATCAGTGGTTTGATAACTGCTGTTTTCAAAGTCTGGGGGAAAACACCTGAAGAGAACGATGAGTTACTATTTGGATCAGATCATTAATGACAGGNGTGGTTCAGTTTCACAGTTTAAACACTAAAATATTAAAATCATCAGGTTTGATGCTTATGGTCTAATAACTGAATCAGGTTTCAGTGGATTCATGTGAGTTTTGACTCTTTGTATTTTATTATTGTTCACAGATAAAGTTTGTGTGGCTGCAGCACATTTTCACTCCAGGGAAAAAGTGAGTCTATTTACACAAACTTTGACGCAAACTTCATTTTTATTTTTGCTGGTTTGTGCGTCAAATATGGCGCTGCACTTGTTTAGTGCATACGCCGCTTTAGACATGAGGCCCCAGGTGATTAGATGCAGCGCTGCTGTTGGAGGTCGGGCTGCAGCAGCTGGTTTCTCTGCAGCAGGAGGTCGTGGGGGTCATGCAGATGAGGGGGGGTCCCTGTCTTTGTGTCGCCTTGACTGGAAAAACAAATGCAGTGCGTGAAGTCATGAGAAATCCCCTGCAACATTTGACTTGATGCTTCAGCGGTTCGAATGAAGAAGTGGTGCTGGGCAGGAAGAGCTGCTGTAGGTCGCAGCGAGGCGGCAACGCTTTTAGTCACGCTTTTAGTCTCCTTTTGACATTTCTGAATGTCAGAAGGAGATTTGAGATTGATCTGATGACTGAAACTAGAGTCATTTTAAACTCTGAGTCCTGAGCCAGACTGCAGCCTCATTCTGTAAACCATGAATGAGTCAGAAAGCCTCGCTGCTCCTGCTGCTGCAGGCGCCTTATGAAACCTGGACTGCAGGAGCATTTCATGGAGTCCGTCAGCTTCATGCAGCGTGGATGGAACCAATAATCCAGGAGGCGATAATTCATCCGGTTGGATTGTAACTCCTGATCTTCTCGATCCTGTTCCTCTGAGTGTTTCTGGTTGGGAACATTAAACCTGCGTTTCCTCACAGCAAACGAGAAACTTTCTCTCAGCCTCCCTATTGGACGGCATTTCCTGACCTGAATTAGCAAATTTGAAACAACCAATGAGGAGATTTTCCTTCTCAGGAGGACAAACACAAACGTTCGTTATCGAACTGCTCAGCACTTTTCTAACCTGGCTTTCTTATGTCTTTTTCTCGTACATAAATCATTTGTACATACACTTGCATGCATACTCAATCCTTTATTTCCTCTATTCATACTGTTAGCTGCTAGCCGTTAGCTGCTAGCCGTTAGCTGCTGGCCGTTAGCTGCTGGCCGTTAGCTGCTAGCCGTTAGCTGCTGGCTGTTAGCTG